ACCTGAAATTACTCCAGGCCATCGCTACCATTACTGTAAGAAGTGCTGGGATAACAGACATTTCCTCACATTTACTGCAACCTGAATGCAAGACCTTCGGGCAGAAGGAGAGGATTAAAGTTGAGTGCTCTGATTAATATTCTTTTTACATCACGGAATGTTTGAACAGCTCTTTCCCAAGTAAACTCTGAGCATATACAAGAATAAGGACTTCTGTGAAAAGATCAGTAAGTCAGGAACCTTCTGGACTAGAAACTGCTCATTAGCCTCACTCCATCCACTGCATTGCTGTTACCAGAAATACTGAAAGAGGAAACAAAGAACCACTGAACTATTCCTCTTATTCTAAAAGTTAAATATGTAAATATATAAGTCTACTCTTAAAAGGAAAAAAAAAAGAAATTTCTTATTTAATTTAAACACCTAAAATCATTAAGTCTTCTATAGAGACTCTCACTAACAGAAATTTTATCTAGGCGGGGGGATTTTTGCCAGCCAGGTTTGCAGTAAGGGCTACTTAAGAATTGTCTCCGTATATGTGAAAGGTACCTGATGGAGGGAAGGTGCATGCCTTGGGAAGAGACATGTCACTTAGCTGTTTTAATAAAAAAGGAGCAGGTTGATTTTTTTTTTAACTGAGCTATAAAACCAACACAAGCAGGATTTATGGATACCCCGTTCTCAAACATCGCTATTCTGATCTATCTTCCTTTGCCCCTTTCTCAAACCATATATTGATTTCAAAAGCTAGAGGAATTAAAATTAATTTTCTGTAACATATTTGGCTGCTTCTGTAGTAGTGATAAATTTGGGGGAAAGAAAAAATATGTCCCAGAAATCTTAACAAAGAAATCTTAACCAGGCTCAAGCAGTGCCCCCAGTCACCACAGTGCACACACAGGATTTAGATTTATATTACTGAAAAATATAACCTTCCTGCCAACAGGACCCTACACACAAATAACAAGAAAGAAATCATTGTGAATGTGTAATGCTCAGTATATACACATAATTTTAGTGACTACATCTGCATCAAAACATCATAAACATACTAAAACAGACCACTTCTTTTTCTTACTATTTAAAACTTGCTCATTGTGAAAGTGGTAATTATTTCCACCATGCAAGTGTCAGAGTCAAACATTTCTGTCTTTCACAGCCATTACAGCACTACTTCAACAGACTACCTGTTTGCTAATAGTGGTAGCCCAGAGGAATGCTGGAAGGTTGGCTGGAAGGCCAACCTTGCTGCTAGGAAAGAAACACTGGGATGACAACCAAGTATATTTAGTCTGAAAAAATCACTGTGCCCAACTCTCTACGATTTCAGCTAATGTTCTTGATTCCAAACAATTGTACAACATTTCTAAATCATATATAAGCACAAAAAAAATACACTGGCAGCTCATAGAACTCTTTGAGATATTGGTCATTGAGACAACTGAAATACAGTCACCTGAAAGTCAGTCTGCTGGGATTTACCCAAGACATGGTAATGAATCCACTCTTACAGCATCAATGGATGGCAGGTATTGCTTGATAGGCCTCTGAAATAGAGGAGTTAAAAATCATGCTTTTTCCATACACCACCCACTTTTAACTTTCATTGTATTAATATCCATAAGAGCAACCCAGAGCAGAGGACACACTCAAATCTTCAGTTTCTCAAAAAGTTATCCAAAACATAGGCTGAAAAATTAATGAAGTGAGTACGAAAGCTGATCTTAGATATCAATATTGAAATTTTCAAATATAAATTTGTTTTAAATTAATTTTCCATTCTTCTTTTCTTTTCCCCACATTTTTAGAAATTTACATGCTACATTAGCATGACCAATATATTTTCCCTTTAAAATTACATATAAAGTTATGTTGTCTATAACTGAAAAATCAGAATAATTTCACGTCCTCTTCTTCTCCTCTGGCATTTAAAAGAACAGGTTTAGAGGAGATGGAGCTGACAGTAAACATTATTTCCTGTTAAGACTTTTAAAGTTAACAAGCTCAGACGTTCAAACATTACTTAGACAAAATGGGAAATCCAGCATCACATCGACACATATTACAACGACTTGATTTTCAGAACAGAGCTTCATTAGACACCCACTGAACCTACTCAGGTATGCCTTTTTCAGTTCTTAAACCTTTTAAATTAAGGTAAAATTTGACAACGGCAAACATCCATACTGATACTGTCAAGTGTATCAGCAGATTATTGATCACAAGCTGCTGAATGAGCAGCTGCTGCTAAGAAATTTGGCAAGATATGAAAAGGGTCTAAACTTGTTATCAAAGGCCACTTGAAGTCACTCAGATATCACTCGTTATCACAATCACACCCATTCTTCTTCTAATCATCCAGACAGCAACAGTAGCCCAAAGCATTAATCCTCTCTCCTCCCACTGATGCTCAGCTGGCCAAACAACTCTTGTGTTAAAGGAGGTTCTCTCAACAGCGATCTGAGGCACATACCTCAGAGGCTCAATTACTACAGAGCTTCACAGAGTTAAAAATGCAGCCAGAGAGGAAGCTCCAAATGAATCTGAATAAAATGGGGGTTGGAACTAGATGATTTTTTAAGGCCCCTTCTACCCCAAACCATACTATGATTCTATGAAAACAATTCCTCTGTGATAAAAAATCCACTACTCATTTTCATACACTGCAAACCCCGTGGACCTTTGTTCTTCCAAGGTAGTAACAGATGGAGGTCAGCTATCTCCTGTCCTTATCCATGGTCTTGACGAGGGCAGTTGCAGCCAACACGGGTCAAAACAGGCAAATGAAACTTCAGAGTAAACCCTTGTTTCTTTTGTATAACTGATCTCCAGTGACCATGGAAGAATATGAGAACCTTTCTGCCAAAGAAAATGGTCACAGATCTTACCACCTTCAGAGAAGGGTGAAGTGTCACATCTTGTCAACGACTAATATAACAACCATCTAAAAGTTGCAGTCCTTCCTCCTTCAAGACAGTAACAACTGAAGGAAATAAACATTAATTTGAACAGCTACTACACAATTTAAACTGATGACCCAACAGTATTTGGGTCATCTTTCTGGCCTCTTGCTTTCCCAATAGTCAGGAAAGGCTGGTTTAGCAAAAAAAAGGATTCCATTTTGTTCTTAGCTCTTAGAAACAATGATTAAAATCTGAAGTTTTCCTATGCTTCAGCAGCATAACATTTTCTCCAAAGGTATGTTGACAAACCTCCCAACTCTTTATTTTTCAGATGACTATAGCAAGTCTCCACCAAGACCTATGTCTCAAGATGACTGAATTCCAGTTTTAAAAAGAAGTCACACATTTCCTCTCACTTTTTCAAGTACAAGAAGCTTGGGAACTGTAAATTTTACATATTACCTCCTAGAAAAAACTCTCACTGACCAAATAAGAATGAAAAATGGGGAGGAAGCTTTGTTGTATGCACATAGGATCAGTAGTACAGTAACTAAGTAAAGAGATTTGTCTGTGGAAGAAGGGAACTGTAGATGCAAGAGGCAGTTCTGAGTTTCTCTTTGGGAGCCTTAGGAATTCAGTAAGGCAGAAAGACAGGGTGGCGACATCCGACTACTGAAAAATATTTTCCCATAAGCATTTAAACAGTATTTTAGATTTTTAACAATTATTGATGAACCAGACTGGACTGGATTTTCTATTGCAAAATCAAATTTCAGATAAGAACTAAGCACTAAAAAGAAAATCAATTGTTTTACCTTTCCTGTCATTTCAGATCAAATTCAAGAGCTATTTGTGGTCAATGGGAATCTTTCAGCCAGCCAGGATTTCAGCGGGCTTTGAATGAGAACATCAAAAATCATTCCTGCAGTGTTAGAATTATTTCAATTACCAAGCATCTTCTGAAAGAACTCGAAGTAAAACCTAATTCTTTAAAAACAAGAAACAAGCCAAGATACTGTGAAATAAACAACTTATTTGTGGTGTTTTAAAATCCATTAATAAAGCTTTTGTAAGGTCTGCCAAAGAAAAACCCACCTGGCAATTGTAACATCTGACTGATTTTCAGGGAAGCATCTTTGTAGGATTCATTCCTTCAGAAAGGTATGGTCTCAAAACAGCAACGACACAAGAAACTGGCAAAGTCCTCATCTTACTGTTGTACAGATACACCCAAACTAGCTGGGGGACAGAAACTGCTTTATTGTTTTAGCCACGGCTCTCCAGCAGGTCTAACAATCCACATGGAGAAGGGAGTGCCTTGCAAGAGCATAATGAAAGAGGGTCAAGCTAACTCAAATTACCTTCCATTTGCCACAGGCTAAGAGCATACACATGAACAATTACTGTGAATCAGATACCACAGATCAGCTGACATATGGTAACCTGTCATCCTACAATAACCTGCCCAAATACAAAGATAGCTTGAAATTCAGACCGGCTATGGAGCTAAAACTCTCCTCTATTCAGAAGGCAAGACATCAAACCCTTGAACCTTTGCTTCTGGAGGTACAAGCTGAAAACAAGCAACAGAAAAGAACCCACAAATGAGAGCCCTTAAGGTAAAAAGGCTGTTTCCAAATACTACAATACTATTACCAAAAGGAAATAGTTACTGTAACATGACCTATTCATGCTAACCAGCCCTTTGGTATAAAAGCATGAACACAGCATGATGACCATGAGACTGCAAATTCAGCTCTTCTGTTGGTATGGACAGTGGTTATTTAAAACAAGTGTAGGAATTCCAAGTACGGCTGTTGATTTGGCCTTTTTGCCATGTAACAGCAATTCACAGCAGGACAAAAAACAAGCTTTTCCTTCCAAATCAGTGCTTCCCTCTCTTTTTTTCCTTCCCTCCCCAGGAGTGCTTATTTCTCTATGCTTTGTACCTACCAAGCTCAATGCAGTCAAGCAGCACACAAGAACTAAGGATAAGCTTTATACGCTCTACCAACACCAGACTGGCACTCACACGGTAGAGCTCTACAGCTGAATCAGTTCTTTGGAACACAGAAAAAGTTGCACAAGAACATAAACACCCCTATTATTTTGATAATGGAATATCAATATGGATCTGGGATGTATTGGCATGCTACCTCTATACACCTCTGTGGAATAACCTACATAGAATCAAGGTACAGCTGAGAACAGAAACAAACTGAGGAGCCTCAGTGACAAGGTTTCTAGGCAGAGCACAACTATGCGGCAGCTTGAGCTCCTAGAACAAAGCAATGCCTGAACTCTCACATCAGAGGGACTTGACAAACCTGGCAACGGAATGGAAACTGCAGGTTTCTGTTACAACAAACAGTAGGTTTCATTGTATGTACCATAGCAGGTACCTTAGCACAGAGCCACAGCAGCATTTCAACAGCTCCTCTCAAATGGACAGGACCATCACAGGTGCCGTGGAAGGCTCCAGTCCCACATGACTGCCGAGGGGATCTAACAGTGAGCTGTGAGGACAAGGGGCAGTCCCACTTCCTTCACCCCACTCCCAACTGCGTACACACCCACTGAACTCTGCAGTTAGACAGCTAACACAGCTAAAACAGCAAATAACTACTCAGGGTGTTTTGGAGGTCTAGTTTCTGTGGTGACATGGTTCAGGGAACTAAGAGTGCAAAGGCAAGGCAGAGGATAATAGCACAGAGCTAGAAGCGGGAGTAATGGGACAACCCCTTCCTCTAACAAACAGGCTCTAAAATTAGTTATCTTGTAAAAATGCAACTAAAGGAGTATCTCAGAGGAGAGCATTAAAAATAGTCCCCAAAAGCCTGCTGCAAAAAGTCAATGTTTTTCAAGTGTTTGTTCCTTGTCTATGTCCTTCCAGCTTCCACACATGGGTGAACCACGGTTTAAGAACAGACAGCAGCAAAAACAGCAAAACTCTGCTATTGAGAAGAACCACAATAACCACTATGCAAGTTATCTTTTAAGAAGAATTCCAGATTCAGAGATTTTAATCACCTCAAGAAGAATTCACGAAACTTTTTAACAGGAAGTACAATTTATATGATAGGAGATTCCTCCTTCTTTACTTAGGAACCTACATCCAGATCTTGCTCTTCTCTTTTACAAAAATTTAAAAGTAGCAATGTATTATAAAAGCAGAGTTTTGATGTTCTGTAATTTCATTGTATGTTTTAATTTGCTTTCTTCCCCTCCCCTTTCACCCCCAGTTTCATTAAGAACTGAAGGACTCGGACTAAAGCCCTAGGTTATATTCATATAGTACAGCTTAGTACCATGAGCAATAATAAAATTCACCAAGTTTGCTTCCCCTCCTATCCAAGTGCTGAACAGAGAAACAGCACATAAGTAAGAAGCAAACAGAAATATTTAACAATCTGAAAACATGAAAGGATTAGGTAATAACAAAGTCAACTGAACAAACCTCTCATTTTCTCAATTCCTGTTAATTCAGTCAGCTCGCCTCTGCTTTTACTGTCCACATTTTGCACAGATCTGGTTTACTTTTCCTATTTCACCTGTTGTAATGTGTAAGGCTAAACATATTTAATCACTATTAGCACAACTTAGAAATCTTAAAGAAGCATGCTACCTCCTCTCCCTAGCAGACCAAACAGTTCACAGGCTGTAAGAGGACGTTTAAGTGCTGCCACAGGTGATGCACGATAAAACACACCTGGTGCATCCTCCTTCCCCTTACATCAGGGACCCAGACAAGAGTGTGGGCTAAACAAGTTGTCCCCACGGCAATGCAACTCCCTCTGGCTCCCACCTGGCCTCTGAAAGATACCCCCCTGTGTGTGTGCAGAGTTAAGTGTGCTTAATGTGTCGAACAAACACACGCGCACAGCGATGGCTCTGCACAGGCACCGCACATTCAGCACTTGCACAGCACACCAGACTTACCATGCTGGAGAGGGAACTGCCCATGGAAAGCAAGCTGCAAGCCTGACATTCCCAGGCAGCTGCTGGGCTGACAAAGCATTCACAGGGCTCCAATGCTATGCATATACATTAAATCCTTCATATTCAGTGCATATAATGCTTTTTATGCTTAGTGCCCTGCACACCTGTGGTAAAAGCACGATATACATTGGCCAGCTCTGGTCTACTCCATAACTGTGATTCTCCCATGAAGCACCACAGCAGGAGCGGGGCACAGAGAATAACCCCTAAAGCACAAAGATATCAAATAGACCAATGTAGAAGACACAATACCTCTTAAACCACTGGGCTCCAAGTTTTTGTAACATTGAAAGTAAATAAAAAAAGATTTGGTATTTCTGAGAAACAATAACTGATGTTAACAGTCTTATGAATGACCAAAATATACCAAAACTACAGGCAGTGAACACTACTGTGTATACCAAGAAGAAATACACTTGATTTTGATCTCTCCAAATCAGATAAAAAACTTTAGAATAGATTTAGACACTTGCCTTACATGAAGGACAACACAGGTACACAGATACTCCTTTGTACTCATGATGCGAAATCAGGCTTTGGAAAACAGAAGTTGCACTTGAAGAACCAAGTTTATAGATTCTAAACTTTTACGTGTAAGGTAGGCTTTGGAAACTTCTCATTGAAGAAACAAGAATTACATTTCCATATGTAAATGTATCTTTTTGCAGCCTAAGACTCTCTTTCAAGAAATACAGAAAAGACTGGACTAGATTTCCTTTCACCTGGAGCAACCGATGCCCAACTTGACTTCTTGCCATAAGGGATGACCTCACAAAAACTGAAATGCATTTAAATACTTCGATGCAAGTCTGCACATTTGCTTCAGAATAAGAATAATTTAATTCAGTTACTGTTACCGCCCTGAACACACTAAATAAGCCCTTTGGTGCACACACTAAAAAAAAATTTAAAAAAAAAACATATATAATCACGCACACGCTTGCACACATGCACTTGAAATAGAGCCAAATAAAGACTCTTACCTTTCCTGAGATATTTATCTCAACATTACAAAATTCAGTCTTTGTGAGCAAGAACTCTGCTGGAGCTTAGTTTCTACATGTTTGTGTCTTACACAGCCTAACCTACTCTTTCTCCCAGTACGTCAAGCCCTCATGTCCCCTATGCAGACAAATGACTAATTCAATTACCTTGTGTGCTGACAGGCCAGCTGGTTGCTGCTTCTTGGCATGGGTAGAGAGGGTGAGTTATAAATGTCTTTCCCTCATTGTCTTCGTCCTCTGCCCAGCCAATAATTTCCACAAAACTTAACTTCACACCCTTTTGTCAACTTTGGTTGAAATGAGCTAACAAGTTCAGCAGCTGCAGAGTGACAGACAGACTGTATAGGTGTACATATCTTGTTTTCCCTGGAAAATGGGTGGGGGGAGGAGGGGAAGCAAACTTGCAAGGTAGGTTTACAGGCTGCACATATTAAATTTGCCTCAGCTCCAAGAGTATTGACCCAGGTTAACACAATCTAAATCCGAGCTGCCACAGTCTCACCACACCCACAGGCATTCAGTGTTATCCCTTCCCTTGTACCAGCACTTGTGCCAAAAATCAACCTGGGAAAAAAAGTCAGCGTTTGGCGCAGGCAGGTCTGGAGCCAGCTCAGCGTCTGTCACATGGACTCCGCTACCACGTAAAAGAAACGCGCAGGGCTGTGGCAGAGGCAGCTGCCCTGGTGCTACACGTTTGGGACTTAACAGCACACAGGATCCAACCCTAAAAGCACTTAATTCTGGACATGAAACTCAGAACCTCATCAGTACCATATACAGTGCCGTGCTGGTGCTACAGAGAGGCACATATGCACTAATGGAGTTCTTATTTTGAGAACAGAAACAAGAAAAAAATACTCATATGATAGCTCCGAGATTGACAATTTTAGCTGCATTCTGGACAAGATCTTCTTTTTTTTAAATAAGTGCCTAACCTTGTCTTCTTCCTAAAACTGTGGCCAAACCTATATGCCCAAGGAAGAAAAAAAAAAGGCACTATAAGCAAATATAGGAATATTTAAACATGGACATCACCCAATCCAGATCTCCTTTTGGATAGACCTTTGTCCTAAAGAAAATGGAAGGACACATCTATTCTGTACCTTCATGCAGAATTGCAAAACCACTGAATAAACCACTGGCAACCCCACTGGCGACTGGGGAGAGATCAGGAGAGAGAAGGTAAAGCAGAAGTAGCAGAGTGTAGCCAGAGTGGCTAATTTAGATGGAGGGAGGTGTGAACAGCAGAACATAAGGCAAAACATCTTGGGAAGTATATCCTGATGACATCTTATCTTGGCTGTACAACACAGTGAGTCTGGGGGAGAAAACGTTTTTATCTGCGATCATTTATGATCTCCCTTCCGCACCATTCAGAATATGCGTACAGTCATTGTTTATCGATGTATAATACAGACGGCATGATTATGCATTCATAGATTTATTCCTACTACATATATAAAATGAGAACCACTTCAGTATAAAACACAGCTTTGCACAATTTTTAAACCCTTACAAGGAACCTTTGATGGAGGATTTTTATAAAAGCATTTTTTCCCAGTGATCTATTTATTAACAACAGGAGTCATAACTTGATTTTTACCCAGTGGTGAACATGTAACAGCTGTTACTCAGTTGTAAAACACTGTCTGCTTACACAGCATTAAATAATAAATAAAGCTCAAGACCTAGTACATGTTTTACTAAGCAATCTAATGATATGAAACAAGAAGTTCCCAAGATTAACTATGTGCTGTATTATCAACTCTGTTTCATGATATCTGTGCTTATAAGTACTATGCTGTAATATGAAGGAGGAAAGAAATTAAAAATAACAAAGAATAATTTTCATTTAATCACAGCTGCACTCACATTATCTAGTAACAGGTTTTTTAACCCAATTTACATCTGAGTTCAAAAGACCACCTTTCCTAATAACTTACACTGATTCCTTTGTACAGCCTTTTTGAGGATGACCTACATTGACTGGGAATAAAGGTGAAAAAAGTCACCACCGACTTGCATGGTATAATCTAACCCCAGTATATTGGCTTTTAATTTAGTAGCATTATTCATCGTCCTTTACTGTAACAGCCCTGCATGAAGCAAGCAAAGTCACAGGTGAAATTGAAATTACCTTCCAGATACAGAGGATCAGACCTTGCAAGTTCTGAGATAGAAATAGAAACTGCACTAGAGACACCCCAAATGTAGGTGGAACACTAATGACAAAAAACCCTAATGCTGTTGATACATTTTTGGGCAAGTGAAACCAAGTGCAACTGACCTTCAAAAATGAAAGGAAAAAGCTAGCAGTGATCTATGTGGAAAGGTAATTTCCATAAACTGTGGAACTTGATTTTGTTCTAATTTCATCACCACTGAGTGGTAAATAGCACTGAACAATGTAAAAAAAAATAAATTAGGTGAATCTAGAGTGCCAGGAAACGTCAGAGTGATACAAATACTTGTAACCTCACATTTTAATAGAGAAAGTTTCTGCCTGTATCTTTAGCAAATTAATAACATATGAACAGTGGCAGCCCAATATAAAACTGAATAATCACAGTATTTAATCCATAAGCACATCTTTCCAGATGCCTTTTAGAAGCTGTATTTTCATCTATTTAAAAGAAAAAGTAAACCATGAGGTTGAAAAAAAAAATCTATATTCTGCATATAGAACATTGATGATGAAAATCCTCAGAGCATGTCATTGAGAGGAAGAAGTTTAGGGGTTTTTTTGTTTGTTTGTTTTGTTTTGCTTTTTTTTCCGTGTTGTTTTCTTTTTAATGTCAGTATACCAGAGAAGTCATTTTAATTATATAATTACTGAAGATTTTGGAAGGTTTACACAAGACCCATAATTGGGCATAAGACATCACATCCTCTGGTTATATACACAGCAATCTGGTCTGGGTAACATTCTTTGCTCTGACCAATGTGTGCGGGGGGGGGCGGGGGAAGGAAGGGGAGGGAGGGGAGAGGGGGAGGAATGGAGAATTAAAAATACTTCCTCAGATTAAATTTTCTTTACTTCATTTGCTTAAAATGTTATGATTGCATAAAACGCACTAAAATATTTATCGCGACACATCTCCGTAGTTAAAATACCTTGATCTCGATGTGATATCCTAGATACTCAAACAAAAGACATTCAGCTGACAATGAAGCTCTTTTTTTTCTTAATTTTAAAAAGGCATTTATACACCTAAAATCGCACCATGGATCAGCCTCCTTTATCACGCCGGAGTTGTGGCAGGTAATGCATAAAAAATTAAAATCCAATCCACCAGATAAGACATGCAAAATGTCTCCTCCAATCCCACCCCCATCTCGCCTTCAGGAAAAAAAAAAAAGCCCAGCCACCACCAGCCCTGCACATTCGGAGCACAAGCACAGCGGCACCCCCAGAGCCACCGCTGGGGCGACAGCGCCAGGGCCGCGGGGCCGCCACCCCCGAGCCCCCCCGCTCCCCGCTCCAGGCTCCATTAGGGGCGAATCCCCCCTCGCCGCCTCCTCATGCCCTCACACAATGGTGCTTTCCCCCATTAGCTCCGAATTGTCAACATTTTCACGCTAGGCCCCGGCCGGGCTGAGCCGCGGGCGGCCCGAGCCCCCGCTCCGCTGCGGGGCCGCGGGGGCGGCGTGGCCGGGGAGGATCAATGGCCGATGGGCCGCGGCCCCCCCCGGCCGCCGGAGCCGGAGCCCGAACTGCGCAGCAGGCGCGGCGCGGCGGGCCCGGCCCCGCGGAGCCGCGGCCAGAGCCGGGGCCGCCGCCCCCGGACACCATTTCGGGGAAGGTGCCGCCGCGAGTCGCCCCGGCACCGCCGCCCCCCCGTCCCGCAGCCCCCCGGGCGCTCTCCCCCGAGCCCCTCGGGGGCCCGGCCCGCCGCTCCCCGCGGGGAGGCACCGGCGCTGCCGAGGGAGAGGGCGGCTCGCCCGCCCGCGGTCCCCGAGGACGGGGCGGGGGCTCGGGGGGGTGTCCTGTCCCGAGGGGCCGCGGGCGATCGGCTCCCCCCTCGCCGGCCGCGGAAGGGGCCGAGCCCCCGCCTCCCCCCGAGCCGGGGCAGAGCCCGAGCCAAACAAAGCGCGGCCTGAGCGGGAGCCAAGGGTGAAGCAGCCTGGGCTTTTCCTGCCGGTCCCCGCGCAGGGCGGGCCCCGAGCCCGGCTTACCCCGATCCCCGGCGGCGGCGGCGGCGTTGTTCCTCTCCTGCTGCTGCTGCTGCACCGGGCGCGGCCTGGACACTCGCCTGGGTCTCCTGTTGGCGGCTCGGACCGAGTTCATTTGCCGGCTCGTGTGGGCGGCGGGAGGGGAGGGGGGGAATCCTCCGGCAACCGGTGCCTCGGCGGGGACGGGGGCGCTCGGAGGGAGCCCCGGGGCGGCCGCCTCGCAGGCGCGGGCAGCAGGGAAGGGCGGGGGAGCGATCTCCGGGCGCGGGTCCCGCCGCCGCTGCCGGCTCGCTCGAAGGCAGAGGAGCCGCCGGCTCTCCCAGCGCTGCTGTGGGGGACGATGGCGCCGCGCCCCCCCCGTCCCGGCCCCCCGGCGATCCCGCGGTCCTGCCCGGCTCAGGCCCGTCGCTGCTCCGTGGCAGGAGGAGCCATTGACACCGCCAGGGACGCGCTCGCGAGCGGGCGGCCGTTGGGCGGCCGCGCTCCGCCAATCGCCGCGCCCGACACAAACGGCCGGCGGCGGCGCGGCCAATCGGCGCTGCCGTACTATGCAGCGCGGGGTGGGGCGGGGCGGGCGGGCGGTGCGGCGCGGGGTGGGGCGGCGGGGCGGACTATAAAGCGCCGGGGCGGCGCGTGCGGTGCGGCAATGGCGGCGGTCGGGCCCGGTGGGGCCGTGAGGAGCGGGCTCAGAGTCGCACAGCCCGGGCACCACCGGGAGAGGGGGAGCAGAGGGGCCCCAGCGCCCGCGGCAGGCTCCGCTGGGGCTGTGTATGATGAGGGAGGGAAGGACAGACGGCGGGCGGGCGGCTGGCTGGCGAAGGTGCCTTGTTGTGGTGCCGTGCGCCTTGGTAACCCTGCCTGGGCTGGGATTAGCCGTGCTGCGAGTGCCGGCTCGCCTCGGTTTCCTGGCTGGTTGTTAACCACTTTTCCCCCTCTGGAGTTGTGTGTATTCCTTGGCCAGTGTGCACACTCGCGTTTGCGTTACCTTTTGGTAGTACAACAATAAGTTATTTGTCTTGGGCTGGCACTTTCAGACAGTGTGTGAAGCTTCTCCTGGTTTTTTATATTTGTCGTGTTGATGCTCAGCGGGGGGCCTGAGAGCAGGGGGGGAAAAAAATAGTTGAAATTAGCTGTGCTCTTTTTTCATTCTCAGAAATCACTTAATAAAATAGATGGCAAAACTTAAGCAGTAAGGAAGAGATCTCTGTTTAGGGTTACTCCGGAGTCAGCTTCTAATGCTGCAAAGGTGGGTTTGTGTGTAGTCCTACTTAAGCTAAGCACTGGGAGCTTCTGGAACCAGAGCCATTGTCTGTGCCTGGAAAGCTGAAGTGTGTTATCTGGTATAGAATGTAAATAAATGATGGTAATTAAAAACACATTAGGCAGGAGCTTGTTTAAAGCTGACAAATGAAGGTATAATACAGCTATAGGAAATGACAGCTTTTTTAAGAAAGATCTTAAAAACGTTTATATTTGTGCTTCTGAAGGAAATGACAATGAAATTGTAACTTCAAGTTCATATCAGACCAGAAATTAATGTATGAGAAATCTCAGTAGGAGATTTCTCTTGTTAAGGAGCGTTTTTTAGACTTACCATTTTGTTGCCTTGAGGAATGACTGGAGAAACAGTGGAGGATGTTTTTCCATGTCTAAGTAATTCTAGCCAAATTCTCTAATAGTAGGGAAAGAAATAATGAGCTTAAACTCTTGTCAGAAGAACTTCATAGGGAAAGAGAATATAAACATCACTCTGTTTGGTGCCAGTTTCTGTCATAACAATTGCCATGTTAGTGTACTAAACGTTCTGTAGAGCTACATAATTATATGTACATATCATAAAAATATTTTTACTTTGGATAGCAGCATTGTGAAACTGCTTTAACTCTCGAATGGAAAGAATGACCCCACCCAAGAATTGTGCTGAACTTGTTGTGTCATGGTTAAGGATATCTCACATTATTAAAAACTTAAAATACGGTATTTTGGTAGTTTAAATGCATTTCTGTTCAGCTGTTCTAGTTGTGCTTTCTTCACCAAGCAAATGAATTTTTGGTGTCACAAGATTACCTGAAATTACATAACATGCAT